TTCCAAAGGAAGGTGGCGGCTGTGAAATGGCGTCCTAGGCTTAGGGTTTAGATGATCCAACGGGAGGTAAGGGTACCAGGTTTCATTCTCGTGTCCCTATTCAAACATCTTTTCCATTTTACAAGTTCAGTCCCTCACCACCATATCTTTTTCAAACTAAACCCAAAAACTACCAAACAGCCCCCGCCTCTCAAAAAATCTTTACTAATTAAATCCAGAAATTACCATTTAGCCCTTAAGCTTCAAAAATCTCTTCAATTTGAGTCCTAATAATTCACCAATTAGTCCCTGCCTTCATAAATATTTACGAAACTAATCCAAAACTTACACTTTAACCCCCGACTTCCAAAATTGTAAAAATTAACCCTCGATACCAACACCTTGCTATATCATTACGGATGTTAGGGCTACTATTAATTTATTAATTTGCTCATTTATTTATTTAATAAACGGGGTGTTACACCATGGCTAAATAAAGGTGGCAACTTTAAGCTTCTTGAGTTCATATGTGCCCAGATCTGAAGTCATTACTCCATAATGAACTCAAATCCCGAAAATGACTTTGAAATGGCCCAAAAATGACAACTTGCAAGCCTAAATAAAGATCTAAGTGATAAAAAGCCAAGGTATAAGCTTTATACCTCAAATGAGTCCGAAATATGGCTTGAACTCTGGATCTACTGACTTTCTCTTGAATCTCCAAGCTTTTCCTTCCTTCTTCAAGCTTCAAAATCATAAGAAAGCTCAAAACTCTTTAAAAATGGATTAGGGTTTCATAGCTAGGGTTTGGGACAAAGGAGGCTGAAAATGAGGCCAAGGAGTGGAGGTTAAGGAGCTTAAATAGGGTGCAAAAGCCCGAAATTGGGGATTCATCTTGGCAGCCCTACTCGTCGAGTCGAGGCTCTCGACTCGTCGAGTAGGTCACTTAAAATCCACACATATCTTGCCCTCTACTCGACGAGTTAGGGCCACCAACTCATCGAGTTGTCCTTCCAAAGTGAATAAACTAATGGGTTGAATGCATATCATGAACCAGGCGTTACATCCTTACCGCAGACCGTCTGAAAAGCAACCAAATGTCATCAACCTCTTAGATTTAAAGCCAAAGAGGCACCGATTTCTCAGATGTAGTCAGATCTAGGTGTGCTTGATGCATTTTCAGATAAGTTATCATCTTTTATGATTCACGTATATATTTTTCTTTTGATGTTTGCTTATGAATTTTGAGATAATTTATGTATGTATTAAAATATAAATGAGTTGTTTATACACTGAAATATGAGATTATACTTGTAAATAAGTTGTGAATGTATTGTATTAAACTGTGAATTTGTTGTGTTAAGCTGTAAATTTATTCACTGCTCAGTATAATAAATTCACAACTTAATAGATAAAAATGTCTCTAGATATGAACGTATAATTGTTAGTATTACATTAAAAAATATAGATGTGCATATATAAATTTTGTGTATTAAACTATGAATTATTGTATTAAGCTGTGAATTTTAAGTATTAAATTGTGAAATGATTGTATTAAGTTGTGAATTGGTTGGATTAAAATTTTAATTTTTTATGAATTTTGTTTTTGCTTTTGAAATATGAGAAAAAAGAATCATTATACACATATATGATTTTCTCTAATTGTAAATAAATTATATAAAATTTAAATTGTGAATACTATGTAATTAAACTTTGAAAAAACACCAACCTCTAAATCTAAATATATATATATATTTTAAACTCTACAAAAATATCATCATTTTCATGCGTTCTCACTAATTCTTATTCATTTTTGTTCTCACACATCGTTTTTCACTCATTTTCATTGTGACACAATACGACTCAATAAACATTCTGACAACATTCTGATAGAATGATAATAATTATAAAAATTCTATAATAACCTTATAGAAGATTTAATTAGTGAGAATGTGTGATGATGACAATAGTTATGTAAGATTGAACGTATTCATATCATCAAACAACATATTTTCTTTATCATTGTCACAGAATAACACTGTCTACACGTCCGCATAATAGATGTCAATCCACATTTGAACCTAGCTCTCTCTCTCTCTCTCTCTCTCTCTCTCTCTCTATATATATATATATATATATATATATATATATATATATATATATATATGCTTAGGTTATTGGATTCTAACTAATTATTGTGTGGATGTAGGAATGATTGTGAGCCAATCATTTTACTTATTTTAAGAAAGTGATTAATACATATTATTAAATTAAAGATAATTGAAAAATATCATCTAATTTCATTGTAAGGGTATTTTAGACAATTCATATAATTTTAAAAAAGGAAAATTCCATATTTTTGGGGATAATTAACTCTCTTGATTTTAAAATTATGATTTTTTTAATTACTTCAATTTTAATTATAACGTAATTTTTAACTTTTAATTAAAGCCGATTTTATTCTGTCAGAATGACATTCTGTTAGAATAATATTCTCTAGGAATGTCAGGATACATATTTATGTTAGAATGCCAACACTGACTAATAGTTCTTTCTTTTGTGAAGACCAGTGACCATTGTTCATCTATATCACACTCACCATCATCTAATCTTCAACCATGAAAGCCTTGATCAGTTAAATTGTGCTTTCATATGATTTAACCTGTGTTTAAGTCTTGCGAACAAAACAAGAAAAAAGAGAAGCAAAAAAAAATCTGATTCTATTTAACAATATGTTGGAAAAATATATATGATAAAATTTGACGATAAATATTTTATTAATTCATGTCATTTCTTGTGAAATTGAAATAAACGATGCTAAAAATTTATTAAATAAAAAAGGTAGGTGTGTCATATAAAAGAATATCATGATGCCTAGAGGAGAAGGAAGTTAATACTCTTGCAATAAATCAACAGAAGATTTCCCATGTAACTGGTTTCCATTCTAACATATACTAAAGAAAAATGACTAAAATGCCCATCATATTGAACCAAGACAAAAAGCTTCAGAAACTATACTAGCCATTGAAGGATTCTAAATTTGGCTGTAAATCTAAAGCCAATTGAAGTATATCCTTATAATCAAGCTAGAAGCAACCTAGAATTGAAAATTATAAGCCCCGTATTTTCTTTTCAATTTAAATATTTATATATGACTAGAACCATTTTAATAAATAAATGTTCTCAAATCTTAACTAGTCAAATCATGAAGAAGTTGTGCTCCCATCAAATTCTTGTAAGGCAAATTTTGTCCTTGATCGCCTTCCAAAAGAGAACAATATTGAACTTCTATTTGACAATCTTCAATATGATCACAATGGTAAAATAAAGAACCTTGAGAAGTAGGTGAGAAAGCTAAGCTCACTCCATTATATTGTGAGAAGAGATGAAGATAAATTTTCTCAACTAATTCTGATCTTGTTCCGGCGAGAGAGTTGAGGTGGTAAGATAATGAACGACAGGTGTGAGGCGTTGGATGAGAAACAAAGAAGACGACGTGTGTTTATATTGGTGGGGATCTGTGGTTTTTTTAGGGTTGAGAAACTAAATCTATTACTTTAATGATATTAAAAGTTTTAAATATTTACAATAACTATATATAACCAAGATTACTGTTATACCCTTAACCAGACTTTTGAAATGATTGGCTCACCAATCATTTCTACATCCATACAATAGTTAGTTAGAATATTTGAACATCTCTCTCTCTCTCTCTCTCTCTCTCTCTCTCTTATATATATATATATATATATATATATATATATATATATTTGATTAAAGATATTTCTAAGAGTAAATTACACGAATAGTCCGTATGGTTTGGGATAATTTGCACATTTGGTCCCTAACTTATTTTTATAACTCGGAAGGTCCTTAAAGTTTGTTTTTGTTGCGCGCTTGGTCCTTGTATTACCTAAAAAGACTATTTTGTTATTGATTTTTTTTCATTTATTTAAATAAACACATCCCTAACCTCGCTTCCACCTCGCCTCACCTTACCTTACCTACCACATCTTATTTAAATAAATTAAAAAATCAAGGGCAAAATAGTATTTTTAGGTAAGAAAGGGACCAAACACACAACAAAAACAAACTGTAGGGACGTTCCGAGTTAAAAAAAATAAGTTAGGGACAAAAAATGCAAATTGCCCCAAACCATAGAGACCATTCGTGTAGTTTACTCTATTTCTAAAAAAGCAAAACATCATACCTGCTACATTATTTTAACTTCATGTAAATTATACACTAGGAAAACACTTGCTTGTTAAACAATCCATATCAAACTACTTTTAGTTATAATGGTTTCAACTTCAATTTGAATATTTTACCATACAATTAAATCAATCGCATACACGTAAAACAAGAAAGAAAACCAACCAGACACGTGGTTCTGCCAAAATATGGGATTCCAGTCTACTCTACGGGACTCTAGCTTCTCTTGCTCTTATTTGTTTGTCTTCGAACATAAGTACAACCTACTTAGATCCCATTACCGATTTGACTAACTGATACTTGAAAAACTTACAGTTTTAATCGATCTTTAACAAACCACATTTTAGAACTCTCTCTTTCATTCACAGAATTAACATATGAAATCTCACATCTTTGAAGTGTTCTTTCTAAGGGATTTCGTTTTTGTTGTGCTATCGTATCCAGATCTAATCTATAATGAAACTCATTAGTAAGATGAAAAACAGGAAATATGAAACCTTGGAAACATGAAACCAGAAATATGGAACCTTGAAATCAGAAAGATGAGATTAGGAAACATAAAAATAGAAAGATGAAATCAGAAAAATCCAGATCTAATCTTGAAACTCATTAGTAAGATGGAAAACAGAAAAGATAGAACCTTGAAATCAGAAAGATGAGATTAGGAAACATAAAACCAGAAAGATGGAACCTTGAAATCAGAGAGATTAAAGATGAAATCAGAAAAAATGCAGTTAATTTACAATCATATATACTTAGAAGATGAAGAATTTGAAGTTAGATTTTATAACCTTTGAATCTCGATAGAGATGGTAGCAGCTGAGGAGGCGTCAGAGGTGAGCGGCCGGGGAGGAAGCGTCGGAGGACGGCAGTCAACGACATGGATTAAGCGTCGACATTTGGTGTGGCCGGAGAAGACGACATCTGGTCGGAGATGGAGACCACCAGAGGAATCAGGATGTAAACGGGAGTTCTGGAGTAGGGTAGCGAATTTATTTCAAAATATCATTGTTTTGGTAAATATGTTTAAAAGTACATCTTTAGGTAAATAATTTTTTTAAAAGCACGCATTTAGTTAAAAACTCTCCTTTTACAATTAAAATGAAGAGTAATCTACTGAAATCGTCCCTAACTTTTCTTTTGCATTCAGATTGTCCCTATGGTTTGATTTTGTTGCGTTTTTCGTCATTTACATACATAAAGTTAGGGACCAAACGTGCAAATTTGACCAAACCATAAGGACGAAAAACACAACAAAGTCAAACCATATGGACGATTTGAATGCAAAATAAAGTTAGGAACCAAACGTACAGTTTTGACGAAACCATACGGACGATTTCAATAATTAAAATCTATCCTTTTATCCGAGGAATAAATAAATAAATGGATTTTCTAATATGTGCCCTAAGGGCACATATAAGAAGCATTAAATATCACAAATATTACCATAATTAAATGTGAAATTCATTTATTATGAAGATTATTAATTTATTTCACATTTATGGCAATATTCCTTATAATAAATGAATTTTACATTTAATTATGATAATATTTATGATATTTAATGGTTTTTAATGTTTATGATAATATTTATAATATTTATGATATTTAATAGTTCTTATATGTGCACAGTTCTTATATGTGCACAGGTTAGAAAATCCTAAAAATAAATTGTCCAGGCAACCTGGAGTTTTAAAAGTACGCCTATGGAAACTAATTAATAACATAGGTGACCTCAAATCTAAGGGAGTAAATTACACGAATGGTCCCTATGGTTTAGTGTAATTTGTGCATTTGGTCCCTAACTTCTTTTTTTAACTCAGAAGGTCCCTATTGTTTGTTTTTATTACGCGCTTGGTCCCTATCTTACCTAAAAAGACTATTTTGGCCTTGATTTTTTTATTTATATTAAATAAACACACCCCCAAACCTACCCCTCACCTTACCTTACCTACCCAACTATTTTTTCCTATTTAAATAATAGTATTTTAAGGTAAGACAGGGACCAATCGCGTAACAAAAACAAACAGTAGAGACCAAGCGCGTAACAAAAACAAATAGTAGGGACCTTCCGAGTTAAAAAAATAAGTTAGGGACCAAGCGCGCAAATTACCCAAAACCATAGGGACTATTCGTGTAATTTACTCAATCTAAGGACATATATGTTAACACCTTGCGTTTTTTATAATCCACGGCCCACTATCATCCGTCGGACATTCAAGAAGTACTGAAAAAACCAACTGGAAATTAGGGCTTTTCTTTTCCCCAATTCATAGAGGTATTTCATCGTCTTCTTCATGTGATCGTGGTTCGTTCTCTTTTAACACCTCAATTTTTTCTTCATAAATATTATATTCATCATAAATAAAACAAATTTAAAAATGAGGAAATATGCATCCAACAATTTAACATTTACCATTCCTAACTTATCGAATTATCAAGCTATATATATATATATAGTTTAACTTAATAGTTCGATACATTATCGTAAATGTTAAGGTATTAGATCCATATTTACTGATTTAAATATGTTTTTTTTATTAATGTTTTGTATAGGGATTAAATTTGTTTTTTTGGTTAAGATCGTTTGTATAAGGATTACCAGGTGGATCATAAGTTCACCATTACAACCTATTCTGGTGAGTTATCTTTTCGTTTTTCGTATCTGTAGATCTGTTTGATTACCTTCTTGATTCGACATTGTTAGAAGAAATCATGCTACTTTGCGTGATTGCGGTTTTCATTTACTATAGATGCTTCTATAGTTGTTCCTCTATAAATTTGAAATTATAAGGCGTTTTTTGTTCACATTCTAAAAACATAACAAGCTCTGATATGTGCGGAATAGGAGAACTGCACAAACAACCTATTAGGCTGAAAGAACTTCACAAACAACTTTTCTTCATGTCCCTTCTTCGCAAGGGCGTGCTACCATCTTTGCTGTTTTATACGTCACTGTTATCATGGCTTCTTGTATGTCATTTTTGGTTCTTCTGGAGGCTATCAAATCTTATTTTATCAATAATTTTATTGTTGTTTTGTTTGTGGTTTGTACTTTGCACCGCTTCTTCTTTGTTATCTTCGTTATTTTCGTTATTTAATACCACTAAGGTGTCTTAGTGGCGATCACTTGGGAATTAAGCATTCCAAAAGGAGATGCCGGAGGTTTGAATCTCAGTGTTATCTTCGTTATTATCGCTATTTAATACCACTAAGGTGGCTTAGTGGTGATCACTTGGGAATTAAGCACTCCAAAATGAGTTGCTGGAGGTTTGAATCTCATACTTTGGGCAGCATGCTGTTTAAAAAAAAATACATTTTATTATAATGGATTAATGTTGTTTTTTGTTCTAGCTGTTGAATGCCCGACTGCCCAGACCAACCAATCGGTTATCCCTTATTAAAAAAACATTGAATCTAAATATTGGTTTAAATACTTGAATGTTGTTCCTTGCTTTAACACATTTATAGTGGATGTGTTGTTTTTTGTTTAATGACATTTTATTGGTTTGAATACACTATAATTACATACTTGAATGTTGTTTGTTCTAATAGACAAGTAACACATTTATAGTGGATGAATGTTTGTTTTTAATACAGAAGGATTCATTAATAATGGAGATCGGTTCGCACATACCCGATTTCAACACTAAGTTTACTTTTCACAAACCCGATTCCGACACTAAGTTTATTGGGGATGGAGAGAGCCTTTTGGCACAGGTATAATTTACATTACAAATTTTTTTAGTGGCCACATGACTTGCTGCTATGTATAGCATATCTAATCGATTGACTTCTGTCACATATCATATGTGATCAGACATTATTGTCAATGGTAAGGGTTGGAGTTGAACAAGAGGCAGTCATCGTCACGTTTGAGGATCTCACTCTTCTTAATCCAAGGTACGTAATTAACCTCTTAATTTGGCTGTAGCTATTTTTTTTATGTCTTTTGATCACAATTTACATGATAGTACCTTCCTTTGTAATGTAGCGGTCTTTTCACTCTTGAAGTCTATCTTTCATTTTTGCGGATGCAACACGGAGGCACTGAATTTGATATTCCATACAGCAGCATACGTGAAATTTTCGTTTTGCCTAAGGTTTCTTCTTAGTTTTTTGACACGAGACAATCATGATCTGTTTTGTTCTATCATGCATAAAAAATGGGATTAATGTTGATATCATTAGTCTAAGTGTTATCGAGGCTTGATCAAGCTTTTCTAAGAACCAACCAACATACCTAAAAACGTTTCGCTCTTTTTCCCTTTTTCTTTTGCAGTGTAGACGACCATTTACCTTTGTTGTCATTACTTTGGATCCTTCCCTCAATAATTTCAAACTTTGTTTCCACGTATTGTGATTCAGGTATCATTCTTGTGAAACTATTTTGCATTGCAGACATATCTTATAATGATAAATCTGTTTGGTTTGAGCAGTTTGAAAGCTATTATGTGGTGGAAAAATTCTTGATGATGAATCCGGATCTATATGCTATATACAAAGACAAGTTACAACCCTCTTATAAGGTTACATAGTGCCACACTAGAAATCAACTTACATTAATCAAATAACGATAAAAATACCAAATTAATGATATATATATATATATATATATATATATATATATATATATATATATTCTTCAATTTACAGGGAGTTATTCATGAAGTTTTCACCACCATCTTGCAAGGATTGTATACGATAAAACTGACTAAGCCTGGAGAGTTTCGTAGTTGTGAGGATACTTATGCTGTAGCAACAGCGATAAGACTTCTAAATGGTCTCATTTACCCTCTTGACAAGTGTTTTTTCTTTTTGCCAACACCTCCTATTCTCATCTATTATGACGAGGTAGAATACTAATCATACTACTATCATATCTGAGTTCAACGCATGAGGTGGCATAAACTACTTGTTTTTGTTTAATTTCTTTGCAGATTGACTATGTAAAATTCGTAAGAGACGTTTATGCAGGATTAAACAAGCATCGTTACCTTGATTTCGTTGTTAAACTCAAGACGCACAAAAAGCATGTTTTTTGTGGCATATCCAGTGAGGAATACGATAACCTTTTTGATTTTATCAGGCAAGTGTTTTGAATGTATTTACAGTGTAGATACATATCATATTCGTTTACCATTCATTTATGATACAGTTCAAAGGGCATACATATTAGAAGCTTGGAAAGTGCCCAAGAGTCTCATGAGGAGGAGCAGCTAGCCTTGTCTTCCATTTGAAAACATGAACGTGTATGGGTGTGTGTGTGGATGTGTGTTTTAAAACTTAATATTTATTAGGATCATATAAATAAAGCCTGATCCAAAGATAGTCTCTGGATGTGCTAAACAGAGTGTTTGAATGTGTTTAGTTATGCTTACTGAAGCAGTAATAGTTTTTCTAAACTATTGCATGGTTCAAATGGTGGGATCGATCTATTAATATTATTCTATATTTTTTATATTTTATGAATAACTAGTATATGAAATGTGATTACAAAACTTATACTCATAATATTTTCAACAGGCTGTAATTATCACAAAAGCTTTATTACTTTTGAGCCGAATTTTTTACATAAAAAATGATTGTGTACTATGTAATTCTACTTTAAAGACTTCTAGCTATCATATACAAAAAGGAATTTTATAAAAGATTTTTACATAAATGAATTGCATATTTAAAAAAATACAAAATATACAAGATTTGGTGTCACCTCTTGCACCTACTCGTTTATGGATGGATGGATGATGTTGTCCGAGTGCTTCTACAACACAAGAACTCAAGAAGGCGCTTTCTTTTGAAACACACCTGTCTTTCCAACGGTTGTTATATGTTTTAGTTATATTATTTGGAGGATTTAGCACCAAACTAATGTGGAAGCTCGATCGCAAACAACACAAATTTACACTATACCGTTTTAATGTTACTAAGTGTAACATCCCAATGACGAGGTACTTTTAAGTTTGACCTATAATTGAATTATATTGCATTTTGGTCTCTAAGTAAAAGAAAGAGTGCAAAAGGGCCCTTAGTGACCTTTTTGTAATTTCGGACTTTGAGGAGTATGCTGAGCGTACGTGTGTATGCTAAGCGTACTAGGGCGTGCCTTAGTACGCTGGGCGTACACCTCATATGCAGGGCGTACGTGAACAACATGCAAACCCTAATTTTTAGGGTTTGACTCATATTTAAACCTCCTTATAGCCTCACATCTCATTCTTATTTAGTCTTCTTCTGTGAAATCGACCCCCAAGCAAACCCTAATAGAAAGATAGCATTTTGGAGTGATTAGAAGTGTGCTTGAAGAAGAGGAGAGTGATTAGAAGTGTACTTTGGAGTGATTAGAAGTGTGCTTGAAGAAGAGGAGAGTGATTAGAAGTGTACTTTGGAGTGATTACAAGTGTGCTTGAAGAAGAGGAGAGTGGTGTGGATAGCTTGGAGTTTTGGGAAGCACTTTGGATTCGAAGTTTTCTCCTTGTTTGCAACCTCCAGGAGGTATAAAGCTTGCAACTTTATCACTCCATCTTGTAGATCTAGACTTTTGTTCTTTTAAGGCACTTTTTGGTCCCACAATGGTGATTCTTGAGCATGACATGTTCTTGACCCAATAACTCCTCCTTTCAGACCTTAGGGAGGGTCTTGAGTCATAAAAATGTGGTTTGGATGGTTAGTTTTGCTCCATGCTTTCTTTAGAAGGTCTTAATGCATTAAGATGTTGTGCTTTGGGGTATTGGGCACTTAATGGACATGCAAAGTCATAAAGTTGGAAACTTTATGACTCTCTATGGTATTTTAGACTTAGATTTTGAAGTTAGACGTGAGAGCTTAATGCATTAAGCTCTTAATGTGTTTTTGGGAAGACTGGGCGTATGCCCTGCGTAACCTGAGTACGCAACGCGTACGTGGTCAACCTCCCCGATGGTGGTCAATGCTCGAGTACACCCCGCGTACGCGCCCTGAGTCGACTCGGGTGGGTTGACTCAGTTGACTTGTTGAATTTGACTAGTTTGACTTTGACTTTGACCAAGTTTGACCAATGGGTATTTTGGGTATTTTGAATGGTGTTTGTGTAACGACCCAAATTTTCAAAAGAAAATTTTCATTTTTAAATAATCAAAACATTTCCAATAAACCACAAAATCTCAAGAACAATTGTTTTCAAATTCATAACATCAACAATTTTATTTCAAATATTAGAGTGTCCTATAAAAACGCCTGAAACGAACGTTACAAATCTCCCCCACTTGAACTAGACTTCGCCCTCGAGCATACCAATGCATGTCTTGAAGTCAAAATGGCTAAAGATGGAAAATATACCCTAAAAGCCATGCATGGCATCCATGTTTGACCAAAAGCTAAATCTAGCCCACTATGGGGCCATTTTGCCCTGGAGATTCATAAAGTTGCAAACTTTATGAACCCCATGCATGCAATCAACAAGAATGATAGGAAATGAAGAGTAAACTCAAGATCTAGCCATACTCTAAGATAAAAATCGAATCTTGAATGCTTACAATAGTCCACAAGATGGTGAAGCTCAAAAGTGAGGGCTTTGTTTGTTGGATCTTCTCCTTCTTCTCAAGCTCCAAAAGTCACTCTAGCTCATAAAATGATATGAAATGGAGATTAGGGTTTAACACCGACGTTCTTAGGGTTTGGAGGCTGATAGAAGGTCAACCACAAGGTTTTAAGGAGATTATATAGGGTGCAAACCCTAAAAATTAGGGTTTTCCTTTACAGCACCTACTCGTCGAGTTGGGCCTTCCAACTCGTCGAGTAGGTCCTAAATTCCGCGTCCCACTAGTGATCTCTACTTGACGAGTTGGAGCTTCCCAAATCGTCAAGTTCCACTCTAAAACCCTAAAATTTTGAAAGGAAATTGATACCTGAAACGAACGTTACAAATCTCCCCCACTTGAACTAGACTTCGTCCTCGAAGTCTGCTAATGCGAACAAATCAGGGTAGTGCTCCCGCATCTCCTCCTCCGGCTCCCATGTCCATTCAGAGCCCCTTTCTGTGCTGCCATTGCACCTTCACTAGCTTCACCTCTTTATTACGAATGACCTTAACTTTCCTATCCAAGACCGCAACGAGCCGCTCAATGTAGTTCAGGCTCTCATCCACCTGAATTTCGTTCAGAGAAACGACTTTAGTTCGTCTGTGACACACTTCCGAAGTTGGGACACGTGGAAGGTGTTGTGTATCTGACTAAGCCTGTCCGGTAGATCCAAACGGTAAGCTACCTTGCCCATCCGGGCCGAAATCCTGAACGGGCCAACCACCTGCTGCTAGCTATGGGGTCCTTAGCCCCATGGTAATCTTGAGCGCCACAAGCTCTGAACTCCCAAAATGTCATCGTACAGGCCCCTAGCATGGCCACCATCTCAGTGCGAAAAGCACTCAACCTCTCATCAAGAATCTCCAGGATATCCTCCTTGACCGTACCAAAGATCACAGGAGTCTGGTCTAGTATACTGCGTGTGATCTCAGATGAGATGAACTCCCTCATCTGCTCGTCTAGCTGCTTAGCTCCAGAGCCTGAGCCTGATCCCTCACTGGCACCTGAACTACCGACTGGTCTAGTGCGTAATATCACCATACTGAAAAACACATCATAACAAACATCAATATACTCATCATAACTCGAGGGATCTCACACACTACAAGTTCCCTGGATACATCTCAGCCTTCTTTTATTCGAGTATGGATCCTCTGCTTTCAGTAGTATGGGCCTATACTACCTTCCATATCTATCCGTACTTTCCTCAAGAACTACCTTGACTCCACCAAGTCCCTTCTACTACTACTGATGTTCTCATGCTAATCTCATCCTAGGCTAGCCCTAAGGTAATCACCAACCCACTCTCCACCATCAGCTTCATAAGAAATCCCTATTATCTCCCCCTAACTAGCTCGCGAATACCATTACATATCACTAACACTAGATAATTCTTCGAATGAGAGGTCCTACCCTACAACGGTTAGACTCAAACGAGAGTTGCGAAATAAGGCTAAATCTAACCTTCTGAAATTATTTAGTCCTCGCAATATGTAACTTAACATATTTGTTTACTAGTTAGTTAAAGATAACTAAAACTCCTAAAAGCACAAAGCAAGCAGCATTCGAGCATTGAGTACACATAATCAAGCATATCCTAGTACGGCCATCATATCACTGACTAATCAGTACTAGCATGCAGTTCATAAATCTCATTCACATATAACAGGCACATAAAGCATCATTCCTAGATCCTTAGTCCTAATCTAGCATGCAGTTCTATTACACATATCATAACATAAACTTGTATGGGTAATTTGGGAGTACTTACTTGAGCTCGGCTGATTGCATGCACCACGCCCTTTTCTCTTTTTCAAGATTCTTTTCTCTTTTCAAAATTCTTTTTCTTTTTCTCAAAATTCTTTTCTAAAAATGATTTTCTTTTGAAAAATTTTCATACCAAGTCCTTAGTTTGAGTTCAGACACACCCTAAAGTGTGTCCGAATCCCTCAAACCAAGGCTCTGATACCAACTTGAAACATCCCAAAAATACGGTCCAAAAATTTCGTTTTAAATCATTAATAAAATCCATGAATATCACTCATCATATAACAACCATAAGTCGTGCAACTCAAAATAACATAATATCTGTCAATGTATCAAAATCATATATCAAATATCAGAGTATATCATCCCAGGCTAAAACTATGGTGTGTGCCATGAAGTCATCTCGGGCCCTTTCCCTTGCTAGTGGAAGTACCTGAAACCAAAACTGAAAATTGTAAGCACGAAGCTTAGTGAGTCTCCCCCATCGAATCAAGCTCGGCATCGACTTTCCCGGCATCGGCTTTCCCGGTATCAAAATCATATATCAAATATCAGAGTATATCATCCCAGGCTAAAACTATGGTGTGTGCCATGAAGTCATCTCAGGCCCTTTCCCTTGCTAGTGGAAGTACCTGAAACCAAAACTGAAAATTGTAAGCACGAAGCACATAAACATATATTGGGCCCCGCCACTGCTACATCGAATCAGGCTCGACATCGGCTTTCCCGGCATCGGCCCCTGCCCGACATCGAACCCTATTCGGCATCGATCCCCGCCCGGCATCGAGCAGATCTCGGCATACATATGAGAATGTCAACTAACACATAACATAAGCATATAACACTAAAATATAAGCATTCCTCGAGCCTCGCCTGACATCGGACCGAAATCCGGAAACATACTAACATTCCTAGAGAACCGCCCCGGCATCGGACCGAAGTCCGGAATCATACTAACATTCCTAGAGAACCGCCCCGGCATCGGACCGAAGTCCGGAATCATACTAACATTCCTCAGGAAACCCCCCCGGCATCGGACAGAAGTTCGGAAACATACTAACATTCCTCAGGAACCGCCCCTGCATCAGACCGAAGTCAGGAAACAT